GCGGCGTGAGCCCCGCCCCGGCGGGGGAGGAGAGGGGAGATCCAGCCCCCCACGGCGCGCATACCCGGTCTTGGCGAAGTTGGTCCAGTACGTCATGACCACCGCGCTGAGCATCACGTCGTTCTTGGAGAAGTTGCAGCTGAAGAGGTCGGTGGGGCCGATCATGGGGATGCCGAAGACGTACGGCACCTCGTCGCCGTGGGCCGAGTCGGCCCAGCTGGGCTTCATCTCGCTCTGGCAGTGGTGGTAGAAGGCGTAGAAGTAGGTGGGGGAGCCGTACTGGGCGTGGAGGTCGGCCGTGGCCACGGCGGGCGCCACCCACTGGTGGTCGGTGAACAGGGCCACCAGCGTCTTGCGGCGCGTCTCGGGGTTCTCCTTGTCGGCCCAGTCCGTGTACATGAACTTGATGGTCTCCCGCAGCGTGTCCTTGCCCTCGGGGTAGCCGTACAGGTTGTCCACGAAGTTGGACACGGAGAAGTCGAAGTCGTTGGAGGTCACGCCGTCCTCGTTGTCCACGATGCCGTCCACGAACTTGAGGCCCTCGCCCTGGTTCACGCCCAGCATGATGTCGTAGTTGAGGAACTCGCCCTGCTCCATGAGGATCTGCGGGTCGTCGGGGATGACGTCGCCGTCGATGACCGGCCCGAAGGCGATGTGGTAGGTGGCGGGCGTGATGGCCTGCTGGATGAGCTCCTTGGCGTTCTTGCTGCGCAGGCAGTCCACCATGTCCATGGTGTCCAGCATGTTGCAGCCCACCTTATCGGCCAGGATGCGCGTGTACTTGGCAGGCTGGTAGTTGACCGCCCAGCTGGACAGCGCCGTCCCGCTCTGGATGATCGCCTTCTGGAAGAGGCCTGCAGGTGCGAGATTGTGCACAGGCCAGTGAGCCCCGACACAGAGGCGCAGCTTTGAGCTCGCGAAGAAGGCGGCGATTGTGCCGCGGGGCTGTGAATGTCCGCAGGCGCGGGCGGGCATTCAGCTCTTTCAGCCGCTCGCTCCTTTCACTGGCCCCGCGGTCCCGCCCCCTCCCCCGCTGGGCCGCGGCTTTGA